CATCCATCTCAGCCCCTCCCCTGCATGCCCCTGGGAGTCAGGGTGCACGGGGAATGGACATAATCATGATGCTCATGCTTGTTTCTGCCTCTGCTCTCCGTCCTTTGTCTCTGGCCCAGGGGTCTCGTGTCTTCTGCCAGCATCCAGGATACTGTGGCACATTAACTTGTTACTTTTCGAGTTTAGTAAAATCTAAGACCCTTCACAGTTCTTGACAGTTGCTCTGGTACTATAGAAGAACTTCCTTTAAGAAAAATTAGTGTAGAAAGCCCTGAAATTCACTGATGCGACTTACATATTTCATATGTTGTTGTGGTTAGTTGCTGTCAAATCGACTGTGACTTATAGCAACCCTATGTGTGCAAAGTAGAACTATTCCATAGGGTTTTCAAGACTGTGAACTTTCAGAAGCAGATTTCAGGCCTGTCTTCTGACGCATCTTTGAGTAGGTTGAACTGCCAGCCTTTTGACTTGTTAAGTAGCCAAGTGGTTAAGTGTTTTTTCCACCCAGCCACCTATCATACCGTATGAATTACTGGAATTTTCTAATACGTGTAACTTCTTACAGCGTTATCTGTAACCATTCACTGCTTCCCTCATGCTTATAAAAAGGATTTTGGCCTTTATCTGGCTGAATTTTATCTGGTGTTAAAGCAGTTTGTGATTTGTTAGCTGAATGTCTACTAGTGACTTTCTGCAAGCTAAGAAAAAATATAAATACCATCTGTCTATTTATCTGTATATGAAATGCCTTATCAATAATCCAGCCAACTCAGCTATTTTTAAAAAATCACGTTATGTTATGAATATGGATTCTTTTTATGTCTACAAAAAGCAGTTGGAGGTAGCTCAACATATTTCATAAGGGTCAATGATGTCTTCCAAGCCCTTGTTTTGGTGGTAAGGAATTGTTTTACGTCTCTCTTTCAGTACCCTTGAACTGGCCTTTTAAGGATTTGTAGCATTTCAAAAGACTGAACAAAAAAGATAGCATGCATATTTAATAAACAAACAAAAACAAAGCAGCATGATCCCCACGCTGTTGTAGGGAAGAACCTGGGCCCGTGGACAGGACTGCCGAGACACATCCTAACCTATGCTCTCTCACCACCACCACCCCGCCGCCCCGGGCTTTCCATCTAACAATGCTATGGACACACCCTCACCTGTGGGGTGGGGTGGAGGACTGCAGCTGGTTGGGTCTATTAACATATCACCTGCCCCAGATGGGACAGCCCAGGACATCATTTGGTCTCATCTGCTGTCGCAAACCAACAGGTATAGCATCTGAAATTGATAAGTGGCCTCTAGTTAAGAACAGCCTGGGTTCTGTTGTAGTGGAATAACCAGGAGTCTTTTAAAATTTAAAAACAACAAAGGGTTTTATTATTGGGAAAGGCATCTTCCAAAATGGGAAGTGTCAGAATAATCTGAACAAAGTGCTTCAGGGGGCTATAGTGATACAGAAGCTTATGAAGAAACAAATTGCATACAGGGTACAGCTAAGACATTTTTGACTGGGTAACATTTACGAAGTTGGACGTTTCAGGGTCTCGGTTGACTATCCTTGCAAGGGTTGACATCTTTTGCAAGGATGACTCCAGGTGACAGAGTTCTGGCTGACCACTAAAATCACACGTTTCCTGGCATCTAGATATCTGTAGCCCCGTTTCTGAGATCAGGAAGCCGAAAAAGTTTCTGCGAAATGGCCAGGACAACAATAATTGGGTTAGATCTGTATTATACTGGTGGACTCTGAAAGTATGAAAGCAAAGAGTTTGTTGAAAGGATAAAACAATCACACGTGAAAATGCTAAGCATTCTTTCGCTCAAGGGGAAAACAAAAAGCTTTTGATATAGAAAAGCCAAGTTAGTTAGAAGAAAGGGTTGGAAAATTACAAGTATGGTTTAAGGGGTTTAAGAGGGGACATCTTCTTAGAATCGACAGCTAAGGTCACATGTTTAACACCAGGTCTAACAACTGTATAGGTCTTGGATTACGTTTTTCTGATGTGGGCGATCTCTAACTGCAAGTTCTTCCTTTAGCAGAGTTGGGTAGGTAAAACTACATTCTTCTAGGTCAGAGTACTGTGGAAAATTTCACAGAAGTGACAAGCTGCATTGTATGACAGATTGCATGTAGAAAGCCAAGATGGAGTCTCTTAGAACAAGAAAGGATTTGACTCAGACCCCTGCTAGAAGTCCCCATCACACCAAGAGTTTTAGCTTTGGAATGCTCTTACTTTATTCCAAACACCTGTCTTCAGGATACGTCTCTGTAAAATGACACACTCCAGATTTTGGAGAGTAACACACGTACCTGAGATGTGGCATAATTTTCAGGTGCAGTAAACAAGGTCTGGAAACCCTGGTGGCACAGTAGTTAAGAGCTACAGCTGCTAATCCAAAGGTCGGCAGTTCGAATCCACCAGGTGCACCTTGGAAACCGTATGGGGCAGTTCTACTCTGTCCTATAGGGTCACTATGAGTCAGAATTGACTCCACAGCAAGGGGTAAACAAGGTCAGCCACAGCGGAGGTCTTTTGGGAGAATAAATAGTTTACTGACTTCACACTAAGTTGGTGTAACTCCATGGTTCCCAAAGTGTGGTCCTCAGGGCAGCAGTAACAGGGCCTCAGCAAGGAACAGCAACTGGTTAGAAGGGCAAGTCCTAGGCCCCTCCCAGAACTACTGAATTAGAAACCCTAGGTTGGGGCCAGCACCTTGTAGTTTAACAAGCCCCACGACATGCCCAGTTGCTTCTGATAGACACCAGGGTTTGAGACCCACAGGTGTAGCCCACTGCATCTCATTGTTAGAGGAGAATGAGGTAGGTTAGTTTACAGATAGCAAAAGCACAAATTAAGGGTGGTGATGTCAAGTATATAAAGGGATGCCAATAGCATTTATTAAATAAATTTATTAAGTTTTCATTAAGAAAATATACTTAATGCCTATTCTAGGCCAGGCTCTATTAGGATACAAATATAAATAAAGCATTCCATAAATGCCTCTTCGTCCCATACAGGGATGGACCAAGTGTGACCTGCAGGAGAAATTCCACTTGCTACTTGCTTTTGTAAATAAAGTTTTATTAGAAAACAGCCATACCTGTCCATTACATATTGGCTACTGCCACCTTTCAGGCTACAAAGGCAGGGTTTGAACAGTTTTGAGAGGGACCATTTGGCCAGCAACCTGAAAATGCTTACTGTCCGACCCTTTACAAGGCTGCCCACACAGTTTCTATTGTATAAAGAGAACATACTTTCCACATTCCAAGTATTTGTGTACAAATGAATGAGGCATCGGTGGTTCAGTGGTAAAGTTCTCCCCTTCCATAGGGGAGACTTGGGCTCAGTTTCCAGACAATGTACCTTAAGCACAGCCACCACCCATCTATCAGTGGAGGGTTGTGTGTTGCTCTGATACAGAACTGGTTCAGCAGAGCTTCTAGACTAAGATGGACTAGGAAGAAAGGCCTGATGATCTACTTCCAGAAATCAGCCTGTGAAAACCTTATGGATCTCAAGGGTCTGATCCACAACCAGTCATGGGGATGATGCGGGAGCTGGCAGTGTCTTATTCCTTTGTACATAGGGTCACAGTGCGTCAGGTACCGATTCGGTGGCACCTAACAACAGCAACATATACAAATGAAGCTGGGATATGAGTATGTATAGTGGGCAGAGGTACTCCTATCATTCCGTAGTCTATTTATATAAAATTTGTACCATAGCAGAAAATTAAGCTTCACAGATGTTAGCTTCATGGAAGATGTAGAGACTGTTTGGCAAAAAGCATAGCAAACACCTTGGTGTATCAAAGCGAAAAAGGGGTATATAAACAAACAGAAATAGCAGAAGGGAGAAGGTAAGAAAAGTGAAAAGAAAATTTTTGTTTGAGGAGAATGTTATCAAGCAAGAAAATGTGTCCTATGTGGTAAGTTAACATAAAGGTGTGTATTGTAGTTCTACTCTGTCCTATAGGATCCCTATGTGTCAGAATTGACTCGAAGGCAATGATGGGTTTGGTTGTTTTGGTTTGGTTTATTACAGGACACGGCTCGGGAAAAGAACTAAAGAGACAAGCATCCGTTTAGAGCAAACCCTGCTGCCTGGTGTGGGAGTAGGCAGTAGAAGCCTAACCCAGAGATAAGCAGTAAGGATCTTTGTTTCACCTGGGAAGGGTCTCCTAGGTGGTGCAAACAGCTAAGGTGCTGGGCTGCTAACTGAGGGGCCTTGGAAGAAAGGCCTGAAGATCTCCTTCTGAAAAATCAGCCATTGTAAACCCTATGGAACACAGTTCTACTCTGACACACATGGGGTCTCCATGAGTTGGGGTCAACTCAACAGCCAGCAGATTAGGGAAAGGCAGGAAAAGAAGATGGCTCTCAATTAGGCTGGGGAGAGCCATACTCTGCCCCTGAGCCGTATGTTCATATGTTTACGTGCTTGTTCATAGGAGAGTTTTCTAGATTCCTTACTCCATAATACTTTCTTGTTGCTAAATGACCAACTGTATAGTGATGCTTTAGGAAAAGCACTGGATTTCCCCTAGGGAAGCCTGGGCCACTTATTGGCTTCACCCCTTAGCATTTGACTTTGGGCAGATCATTTCCTGGCTCAGGGTTCCCCTTTTCCACATTTGTGAGATAGGTTTTCTGCATTCATATGCTGTTATTCTACCAGACTCTCATCAGAGAGGGCATTGCTAAGCTAAGGGCACCAAGTATATGTCCGAGCGGCTGGCTTAAAGAGGAAAAGAAGGGATGATCAAGCACACACAGCCGGACCCTTCTAACTCGGGAATCGTTGACCAGTTGTCCCTAGGGCATTAGTATTTCTCAAAGGACTTGGTGTTGGTTTATTTCCAGCTCACACAGCTAATGACAGATTTCTCCCCTTGCCAGAAGAGATCGCTTACTGTTGAAATGTCTAGAGAAGGAAAAATGGCCAGCTGGAATTCCAAGTGTGTGATCTGACTTCTTGTTCTTGCAGGAATTTTTCTTTAAATGTGGTGCACACCCAACCTCTGACAATGAAACATCAGTAGCTTTGAACCTGATCACGACAAACACTCGGGACATTAGTTGCATAACATGTACGGACGTCAGGTAAGGATCTGAAAAAATTGCCGCTCGCGACATCTTTCCTTCCCAATGCTGTTCTCCCAGTGAAGCTTCCTCTGTGATTTCTCTGTCCTGAGGCAGGCTGGCTTTATTTTGATGATGTCCCAATTTGGGTACATTTTAATGTGATGAAACTATTTAAAGTACCATATACTTAGTTTCGTTAGTAATCAGATGGAGCCCAGGGATATTTTAGACTCTGTGTAATGTTTAGACTAACATAAAATAGTGTAACCTTAATTGACATTAAAATGCAAACTCCGGTATTAGTACCTGTGAGTTCTAGCATAAAATGAAAACATGAAGCTAAAATTAGGAATGGAATCTCTTTATGACCTCGTTATACTTGGAATATACAGGCCATAACACCTCAGTTTAGGAAGGTCTTTTCCTTTGCACTTCAGTTCTCTGATGTATTTGTCTGTATGTATATTAGGGCACCAAATAAATTATACCCCAAAAGTGAAAGTCTGTAGGTAGTTTTGGACCTGATTATTTCTAAACCCTGTGAAGAGAATGAAAATGTGAAGGTGATCTATTCGGGAAAAAAAAAGAAAATGACTAAATTTGAATTACAGTTTAAGCAGAAATGACAAATTATAAGAAACTATAAGTCTATTTAATCTGCAGAGTGTTAAAGTTCAGAGCAGAATTGCTTACTCTACAATATTCAAATGAACAGGCTAAAAGAAATGAACTTTAATACATATTCTCTGAGGTTGGCTAGAGGCTCAAATTGCAAAAGAGGGGTCTTTGCTCTTATCTTGGAAGAACTTTTGAGTTAAATGCTAAAATGAATTAATGAATAATGTCAAATAATCTTCTGTGTTCCAGAGTTTTAAGCAACGACGGGTATATACCCTAGTCATTTTAAGTGTTGTATCTCCTTGATCTTTGGGACTGTAGTAGGTGGGCTTTTAAAGTTACATTTAAACTCTATGATTTTGATTAGTAGGTATTAATACTCCTCACATGATACTTCCATTGTTTAATAAATTTAAAGAAGATTGTGATCAACAGAAGCTTAAAAACCTTAATAACGTGTCGAACAGAACTCGTTTCCAAGAAGGAATAAATATGAGACATGTTTATCTTTTGTTCAACATCTAGTCATTCTTGTGAAAAGGGACACCACAGATATTGCCTAATAAACGCACCATTTTCGCCTTCCTTGGTAAGGTGAATGAATGATTGCATACAGCTAATGCTTTTAACATGGAGGAAGAACAGTTAAAATGATTTTTCTAGTATTTCAGGAAAGGAATTGGAAAATGCTAAAAATGAAGGCTCAATTGCTTGGAAAGCAACATCAACTGCTTTGAAAGCAATATGATATTAAAATCACTTTTCAGTTTTTCAAAGGCAAACTCAAAACATTTTTCTGTATGTCAGAATGCAGCCCACCAGCCAGTGGTTTAAAACCTTCCATTAAAGTTGATAAAGATGACATTAAAATATGTAGCGATGATCATATTATCTTTCCATGAACATTGCCCTCTGTGTTCCCTGCCGCTAGACTGTCACCTTTATGTTAATAACTTACCACATCTTTGGGAAGAAATCAGCCTCCCAGATACACAGGGAGATAACTGTTGAAATAATAATATTTCCTGTTGCAAGAAAATATATTATTACTTTTGGGAGGTTTTGTAAACAGAAGCTACTCTATTCTGTGAGATTTAAATGGGTGTATTTATGCAACCATTTGATTGAGTAAGGTCCCTTCCTGTATAAGACAACAGAAGGGGTGTCCTATATGTAGGATAGACAAAGTGAATCTCTCTTCTTCCTTTGATGGGTTTCAGTGTAGAGATGTCATAATCCCTGCTCAAGGAGCGCCCAGTCCTCTGAGATGTACTTTGGTGATCACTGTTGTTGGATTCTAATAATGTTTTACTTTCTAAATTAGAATTCACTCACAACAAATTATAAAAAAAAATTGGAAATTATTTTTACCCTCATGGTTAGTAATATTTTGGTTTAATTCTTTCTGGGGTCTTGATTATGCCTGAATGTTTACATGTATGTATGGCGTGGATGTGTGTGTGTATGTAGAATTGGTTAATCATTTTGGAGATATATATTTGGCTTTGTCCATTTAATGCAGCTTCTTGGTAAATGTTTCCTGTCATGAAATATTCCATGAAAACAAAAATTTTTAGTAAGTTCCTAAGATTTCATCACATGGAATATGGTTGTTGTTGATAGTTCCTGTCTAGTCGGCTCCAACTGGTAGCAATCTGTGTAACGCAAGGAAACATTGCCTGGTTCTGTATCATATTTGTGATTTTCCGTGTGGTTGAGCCTATTGTTGCTGGTATTGTGTCAATTCCTCTCATTGAGGGTTTCCCTTGTTTTTTCATGTGGAAACATTCTACTCTATTTAACCATTTCCTTGTTGTTGGGCATTTAGATTATTTCTAGTTTGTTTAAATATGTTAAATATACAGAGATCAGTCTGCTTCAAATCTATGCTTATAAATATTTATACAGATATTGGTAGGCTTCAAATGTAAGAACAGAGTCATAGAAATGGATATAGAAGGTCTATGGTTATAGATAATTTTAAGGTACTTGATTGTTGTTAGGTGCCGTCAAGTCGGTTCTGACTCATAGCGACCCTATGTACTACAGAAACGTTGCCCAGCCCTGCACCATCCTCACAATCATTGGTATGCCTGAGCCCATTGTTGCAGCCACTGTGTTAATCCATCTCCTTTGAGGATCTTCCTCTTTTTCACTGACCCTCTACTTTACCAAGCATGATGTCCTTCTCCAGGGACTGATTCCTCCTGATAACATGTCCAAGGTATGTAAGATGTAGTTTCTCCATCTTTGCTTCTAAGGCGCATTCTGGTTGTACTTCTTCCAAGACAGATTTGTTCATTCTTTTGGCAGTGCATGATATATTCAATATTCTTCACCAACACCACAATTCAAAGGCGTCAATTCTTCAGTCTTCCTTATTCATTGTCCAGCTTCACATGCATATGAGGTAATTAAAAACACCATGGCTTGGGTCAGACACACCTTAGTCTTCAAGGTGACATCTTTGCTTTTCAGCACTTTAAGGAGGTCTTTTGCAGCAGATTTGCTCAATGCACTGCGTCCTTTGATTTCTTGATTGCTGCTTCCATGGGTGTTGATTGTGAATCCAAGTAAAATGGAATCCTTGACAACTTCAGTCCTTCCAGAAAAATGACACCATTGTAGATTGTAATAGCCTCCCTCCCTCAATCGTTTCCTCCTTGAATTATTTCCAAAAATCTTTTTGGAAATTATTTTCCAAAAATGTTTATATATTTAGTCTTTTCCTATTTAATGAAGAAAATTATTTATCCTTAACATTTGTTTTATTTTAAATTATTATTAGCAAGTTAGAGCATTTTCCAGTTGTTTATTTGTATTTTTTATTGTGAGAGGGCGTTGCAAAGCTTTTTTCAGTACGAAAGCTTGAGGAAGATTCTGGAAAACAGATCCGCCCTCAGCAATTACTTTTTTATTCACTATTTTGTAATATCAGTGTGTCTTTTATTAATATAAGGTTTACTCGGTTTGAATTTATGTTTAAAAACATTCCTTTGGTTTTGGCTTTGAAATATTTTATCTTCCTGGAAGTAAATCAAAAGTCACCATTAATTATGGATTTGAACATAAAAGTTTTTATTATCAATTTTATTTATTTTTGTGTTTTATCATTAGTCAAATTAGACACAATTAACCCCATAAAAGATTAAAATCTGAAGAATGCATCAGTTTATTTATAAATATGGTTTCTTATTCCCCCTCTCATATTAATGGCAGGTAGAAATTTTATTGATTTATTATTGATTTACAAACATATACTCTTGTATAAGAAATTGACATCACTTGCATCTCCCTTTTTAGTGATAATACTCAGAATGTTCCAATAACTTAGGTCCAAGGAGCCCTAATGCCACTAAGCTAACTCTTTAGCCTTGGTAGAGTAGCCTGATTTCAGTTTTCTTATAAAATCCAGGAATCAGAGTAGCTAATCTACAAAGCCCTGGCTGGTTCTAAAGGACTAGAAATGTGTGGGATCATCCTAGTTCACAGCTTAGAAACAGATTGTTCAAGGAGAAAGAATCTGGCTGGAGGTCCTGGCCGTTGACGGAAGTTGTCTGTGGAGATGAGGTTTTCCATGGCACTGCCTCCCACATCACACATGTGTGGTTATAATGTGTAGAAAACATATATAAGATGGGCGCAGCATTTCCAGTGGAAAGCACATCACAAAGGTTCCGAACATTCCCAGTACCTCCATTTGACTCAGAAATAACATTATTAAGCCATATAGAAATGGCACGTGCAAAGCCAAAGTGATCTTGCCTCAACCAGAGTGTGTTTGCTGGCATCACCCTAACATCAGAGACCACTGGGGGAAAACAGTATTTCTATTCTGCTTTATAATAGTATTGTTCTCGCATTTTGTATAGCTAAATCTTGAAAATATGCAAAATAAAAAGAATCGTTACCATGATATTTGACCAATATGCAAACCAAGGTCTACGTGGTTTCATTGTTCTTCTCTGTTCACAGCATGATCCCCATTTTCTCTGTACAGTAAATGGCAAGGATAGCTGGTTAGGTTGAAAGGTGTACAACTGGAATCTCTGTATAGGGTTGCTATGAGTTGGAATCGACTCCATGGCAGTGAGTTTGGTTTTGGGTTTGGTTTGGACATTAGGGAAGAAATTATCTCCAAGTCCATTTGTATTTGCTCCCGGTGTCCCTGGTGGAGAGTGATTTAACAGTCTTTTGACATTATTTTGATACTTTTTCATTCATTCATTTATTCATCCACTCATTTAAGAAAATAGAGTTGAGCAACTGGAATCTTAGTGACTTCGCATTTGAAAGCATTTTGGTATATCTTAGACTTCTCTTGTTAACTCACATTGTAAGTTTGGCCATCTTTGGCATTTCTTTTATGTTTCAGAATTATACAAAGGTCTTTATCCTCT